TCTGCTGAATATAACTCCGCATTGGTGACAGGAAAGGCATCCGGCCAGTAATCACTCAGCTCCATTCAGTTGCCCAGACTCCACCCCCGCAAGGGATTATGGGGTCATTAAAAGATGATGATGATGATGATATAGTCAGCTTCAACAGTCTCTGTCTGCAAATAGGCTGGGTTCTGCCACTATGAGCAGCTCCGAGACTGTTGGATGGTCTCTTTCCTTAATTTTGGCTTCAGGCTCTGAATGACAACCCCAACCTTTCCTTCGTGCGTCCCCGTTGGATCTACAACTGCAACGACCGGCAGAAGCTGATTCCCCACCAGCCGTATGTCGTGGTGCCGCGAGTGTAGGAGGATTTACCTGCCGGAGTTTGTATATAATGTATATTCGTCTCTTTAGGGGGAAGATCCTTAGCCTGCTGGCTAGTTGAAACAGGACACTCCCGTTGGGAGAAATTGCCTCCCTCTGAAGCCCTCCAACCTTGGGGTGGTTTGGATGGTCTTTGGTTGCGTTTTTTTTTTCTTTCCCCATCCAGTTCCACCAGATCATGTCAGAAATCAGTCTGCTTTTGGGAAGCAATGGTTGCTGCAGGCTGCTCTGGAACAGTACTAGGGTCATCTTCCAGGATGGAGAAGGCGCTCCCTTAAAATTAAGAGCCCAGGGTTCAACAAAGGCGAAAGTTAATGTACAGAACCAAATTCATAGACCTCTTTGCGCGCCTCGGTATTTCTTGCCCTTCTCACAACCCACTTATATTGGTACTCCTCTTTCTCTTCTTCATCTTCCCAGGGCATTGTGGGGATGTGTTCTGGCTGAGCATCTTTTTGCCTCTCCCTATGGAAAGATCTTTCTACGTACACCGAATCCCGACAGCAGCAAACCTTGATTTTCCTAGCAGGGAGTTTGGGGGTTTCGCAGAAGAAAAAAAGCTGTCCCATTTCTCACCCAGGGTGGTTCCAGTTTCACGATAGTAGAGATGGGGCTCGTCGCCATCATTGGTGTAGGTAAACCTCGGTGGGTTGTCCCATCTGCAGACAAAGCCGAGCTCGTTTTTAAAATGCCGCGATCGACAAATTGCATTCATGCCTTCCATGTGCATGTTTTTCAGAAGGAAAGAAAAAAACACCCAGGAAAAAACGGCATCCCATAATCCCCACCCAATCCTGGCTTGTTTTGACAATTGCAACACTGATTAGAAGTTATGTATGGGCTCCGTTAAATAAGTGAACACTTTCCCTGACCAATTATTCTAAGAGGAGAGTGTTTGGCCTAAATCAGGGGTCTCCAACCTTGGGAATTTTAAGCCTGACGGACTTCAACTCCTAGAATTCTTCAGCCAGCAAAGCTGAATTCTGGGAGTTGAAGTCCGCCAGGCTTAAAGTTGCCAAGGTTGGAGACCCCCAGCCTAGATATACGATGGTAGCAAAGTTGAGAATGGAAGTATTAGAAGAAACCCTGATTGCTTAAACCGAATCACAATTTCTGGGGTAGGCTTTCCTTTTCAATGAATTTTTCCAGGTTCCTCTGTAGGAAAATAAGAAACTGCTTTAGTTAATTTCAGAATGGAATTGTTCATTTCTGCAGAGCATCGTCAGTTTCACTATGAATTGTTTTGCCCCCCCTGCTTCTTCGGAACGAAAAATATTGGACCATTTTTACATGTTCTTTTCAGAGTAGCGTTTCTTAACCTTGGCAACTTTAAAACGAGTGAACTTCAGCTCCCAGAATACCTTAGCCAGCAGAATTCCCCAGCCAGAATTCTGGTTTGGGGAACTCTGGGAGTTGAAGTCCATGCATTTTAAAGCTCTCGAGGTTAAAGACAATTTCAGAATGACATCCCATTCCCCAAAGTTCATGTTCCTTCCCACTTTTCAGTTGCTATAAACTGGGCTGGGAGGTCTTGAATAATCTACCTCATTTTTACAGCTGATTTCTTATTTCCCAGTTTGCGATCAAACCAGCCATTCTACTCTTCGTTCTTACTTCCTTGCTTTCACAGGGGAAAAAAATGTGAAATCGATTGTGGGGAGTGTTTTACTTGTGATGGGCACTGCAGAATTGGAGGTCCATCTCTCATTGAGACATCCGTCAATTGCAGTCTATTCATTCTTCTCAAGCAGATTTTTTCTTTTTGTATAAAGATTCCAAGATGGAAACCAGAGATTTTTCCCTGGGGCCTAAATTTTGTTTTATGTGCTGGAACTCTCAACCATATAATTAGGAGCGAGATACTTGAGGGAGTTCTCCTTCCTACCACTTTTTTTTTTTCCAAAAAATAAAAATAAAAAATCAAGACACAGAATAATTTTGGCTGTACTCTCACATCCCTTCTCATCCTTTATCCTGGCAATTCAGAACTTGTCCAGATAAGGAGCGTCTAAAAATATGTTCCATTCTGGATGGCATTTGCTCAGTTCTTTTCAACTTGTGTGGATTTTCCTTGGTAACAGATGATGTCTTCCCCCAACAAAGGACACTGCAGTTTATGGACTTCAGTTCCCAGAATTCCCTAACCATTCTAATAGTTAACAGAGAATTCTGGGAATGAAAATGTACATGTCTTGAAGGAGCCAGGATTGGAGAAGGTTGTTTTAGACTCATATTCCTGGTCTTGGAGGATGGAATATTTGCAAGGGAGACTTGTGTCAAGAAATTAGCTTTTCAGAGCACATTAAAAAGAGCACAAAAGGAATTTGCATGTGTCTCTTTTAAGGATGCTAAATTGTAAGGAGAAAGGAGTTAGCCTTGGCAGCTAAACTAGCTGAAATGTTTTACTATTGTACAGTCCATGTTTCACAAAGACCGAAGGGCTTGCTTTGTTTTCTATAAATTTACACCTTGGTTTAGCAGTTGTTCCGAGGTTCCAGCGACAAAACTTCACGGGGTGTATTCTTGTTCTCTTTTCCTATATCATGTTATGTTTTAATAAAACAAGATGCAAGTCTCCAAGCGGTATCTTTTAAGAACTTATCAACACTGCCAGGGAGAGATAATATTCCTCTGTGAGCTCAAGTAGGACTCCTGTTCCCTCAATGAGAAGATAAGCTTTTAGATGCCTTGGTAAGGCCACACTTGGAATACGGCATTCAGTTTTGGTCGCCACGATGTAAAAAAGATGTGGAGATTCTAGAAAGAGTGCAGAGAAGAGCAACAAAGACGATTAGGGGACTGGAGGCTAAAACATATGAAGAACGGTTGCAGGAACTGGGTAGGTCTAGTTTAATGAAAAGAAGGACTAGGGGTGACATGATAGCAGTGTTCCAATATCTCAGGGGCTGCCACAAAGAAGAGGGAGTCAAGCTATTCTCCAAAGTACCTGAGGGTAGGACAAGAAGCAACAGGTGAAAACTAATCAAGGAGAGAAGCAACCTAGAACTAAGGAGAAAATTCCTGACAATTAGAACAATGAATCAGTTGAACAATTTGCCTCCAGAAGTTGTAAATGCTCCAACGCTGGAAGTTTTTAAGAAGAAATTGGACAGCCTTTTGAGTGAAATAGCATAGGGTTCCCTGCCTGAGCAGGGGGTTGGACTAGAAGACCTCCAAGGCCCCTTCCAACTGTTATTCTAATTCTAACCTGTCTTTGCCATCCAAGATGCCGAAATGGGGCTTTTGGGAATACAGGCAGTCCTTGATTTACTATCGGTTGCTTAGTGACTATTCAAAGTTATGACATACCCACCCAAAGGAACTTAAGACCTGGTTCTGAAGTTCAGATGGCCACCTTCCCCTCCCCCCAGGGCCACAAGCCCTCCTAGTTGGATGTTTGACAACTGACCTTCATTTATGACCATTGGCAGCATCACATGACCACGTTTTACTTTCCCCCTCCCCTTTTTTTTGTGTGTGTCAAAAACAGCTCATAGCGAACAATGGATTCGTTTTACAACGGCTACAAAAAAAAATAACGGGTCTGGTTATGTGATGACGTTGGTTTTATGATCATCACAACTTATGGACAATAGGCAGGGGCCCTTCTGGTCATTAAGTTGAGGACTACCAATACACAGATTCTTTCGAGCTCAGGGATCTCCAACCTTGGCAACTTTAAGCCTGTTAAGACTTCAACTCCCAGAATTCCCCAGCCAGCAAAGCTGAATTCTGGGAGTTGAAGTCCGCCAGGCTTAAAGTTGCCAAGGTTGGAGACCCCTGTTCTAGCTCACATGCTGGACCTTCCCTCTGTGACCGATTGACCTTAAAACCCCCAACCTTTTTCTCACACGCACCAAGCATACCTTAACTTCAAAACGGTGTTTTGCTTTCATATTTTATTTTATTTCAAGAAAAATAAGACAAAAACTCCAGCATCTAATGGAGCTTTCCTTTTTGTTTTGTTTTTTTACTACGGCTACAAACAGACTAGGAACCAATCACACATACTTCCACCTGCCTTTCACCCAAATCTGAATTATAGGGAAGTCGGCGTGTGCTAGTTTGTGGGGAAGTGGAAAGATGTACTGCAGGTAGCCCTCGACTTACTTTCAGTTCGTTTTGTGACCGTTGAAAGTTACAAGAGCACTGGAAAAAGTGACACACAGATCATTTTCCCACTTAACGACCGTTGCAGCATTCCCCCACGGTCACATGATCAGAATTCAAACACTGGGCAACTGACTCATATTTATGACAGTGGCAGAGTCCCCGGGCTCATGTGATTATCTTCTGACCAGCAGTCAATGGGGAAGCCAGATTTTGTTTAATAACCGTGTTAACTAACTTAACAACTGCAGTGATTCGCTTAACAGCACTGGCAAGAAAGGTTGTAAAATGGAGCAAAACTCACTTAACAAATGTCTCGCTTAGCAACTGAACTCTGGGCTCAATTGTGTTCGTAAGTCGAGGACTACCTGTACTAGGTTTTACCAGCTATTGAAAAAAAAAGTGTGTGTATTAATTGTGGATAGCAGTGAAAAGCGGACTTGAGTCTAGAAGAGCACGGGAGAGAAATGGGTGGAGAGAAAAATCCGAGAGGGAACTTAATATTCAATAATGAGTGCAAAATGGAAACTTTCGGTGTCTTTAGGCATGTGGTACAAGTAAACCAAACACATAGGAGTTAACAAGGAAGCAGGCTATAAAATTGTGTGTAGTACATGGTGAAAATAAAATTATACAGTCCCTTTTAGCCCGAGAAATTCATGTGTAAAATCTGCTTTCTATTCGTGCTACCGATGCATTTGCTTCACCCTTAATACACTACCCACACTAATCCTGAAGTGGCCTGAGGCATCTTTTGATGCAACGTGTAAACGACAAACCTAGACGGTGGCGTGAATTTGCCGATTTTTCTTGCTTCTACAACCCCTTTAAAACATAAATGTTGCCTACTCTTTCCTGGGATTTGTGCCTTAAGTGATCCCACTGGTGGATTTCACCAATTGACACGTTGTCAGACTCCGCTTTTGTTTTGTAAAACAAAAAAAATCAAAGAGATTTCTTCTTTAAAGTAGACACAACTCCTGTCCAATATGATGTGCTCAGTTCATGCATATTAAACCTCCCGATTTCCACGGCCAAAAGGTTGACTGGTCAAGGCAGCTGCAACGTAGCCCCCTGTATAATGCACAGTGAAGATACAAGTTATAGACCCTTGGATGACAGGTATGCTGAGTTCCACATTCTGACACAAGCATGCACCAGTTGAGCATAAAACAAAACTATACACGGCCACAGACAGAGATTTCTCCTTTTGTGCAAAACACACAACAGGTTCTGCTCTGGTGCAGGCATTCTCTAAATGCAATTAGTGTGGGAATCTCAATGGTGGGGTTTTTTTTGTTTTGTTGGCACGGAACTGACGTGGACAATGGAGGGACCAGGATTGTGTCTGGTGCGAACCGGAAGGTTAAAACTGAAGCAAAACAAATCGCGAAGGTGCAGAAGTCTGCATAACTTAAACCAGGTGGTAGAATAGGCCATCGGTCACTGCAGAAACAAGGTTACCAGAACAGCGTTCAGCATGGCGTGCACAACTTGGCCTCTTGAGGGGGAGCCTGTCCTGCGGCAGTTTTGCCATCAAAGCCGAGAACAGAGAAGTTATGGGTTGCTGGAGGTTACGGTGCAACCCTGAGCTCCACCATAACTTTCCATTATTTACAACGATCCCACAGCTACCAAGTTTTCAAATTATCCAAGTTTCTCCCTGCGCCCTCGCAGAGCCCAGCGGTTCCAACTTAGGGCCTGTCTCCACTGCTGTGGCTTTTGTCCTGGGCTAAGTCATCGCCTGCTTCTCCATCCTCGTGCACCCGTTGGTGAAGGGTGAGGTTGCGCAGCTGCCGGAAGCTCTTGCTGCAGCGCATACACGGGTAAGGCCGCCCCGCTGCGGTGGCCGCGTGGATCTGTTGATGAGCAGCCAGTTTGGAAGGGTAGCAAAAACTCTTCCCGCAGCGGCTGCAGGGGTACGGCCGCTGCCCCGTGTGCGTGCGGCGGTGGGCAGCCAGCTTGGAAGGATAGCAGAAGCTCTTGGGGCAATCGGCACATTTATACGGGCGCTCCGGCGTGTGAATCCACTGGTGGGCGGCCAGCTTGGAGCGATGTCCGAAGCGCTTGGGGCACAGAGAGCAGGGGAAGGGGCGCTCCCCAGTGTGCGTACGTCGGTGGGCGGCCAACTTGGACGGATAGCTAAAACTCTTGGGGCAGTCGGGGCATTTATAGGGGCGCTCGGCGCAATGAGTCCATTGGTGGGTGGCCAGTTTGGAGCGGTAGACAAAGCGCTTGCCACAGTCTTTGCATTGATAGGGACGATCGGAAGGCAAGACAGCGGGAGGCCGCCGCCGGCGGGGACGGGGTGGCTTGGGAGACTCCGTGGCGGGTGGGGAAGACAGAGTCGAGGGCGAAGGTGATTTGGTGTTCTCTTTCAAGGCCTGAGAATCTGGAAGGAAGGGAGAAAAAATTTAAAAATTAAATAAATAGAGGATTCCTTACCAAACACTCCATTTTCCTGCCTCAAATTTGTGCTGTTTGCCAATTATTCTGCAGGTAGAATACAAGCAGTCCTTGCTTAACAACCACTTGTCCAGCAACTAGTCAAAGTTATGATGGCCCTGAATGAGAGGGTTTTTATGACGGATTCTCATCATTGTGGCTGTTGGTGATGACGATTCGGTAAGCCGCTAGGCCATCGCCTTGCCATTGCAACATCCCAGCAACTTGTGGTCGCTGGGATGTCGCAGTTTTGACATCCAAATTTGGTTGCTACACAACTGGCAGCGTTTACGATGGTTGTAGCATCTCATGATTGCCATTTGTGACCTTCGCTGCCAGCCTCCGATGAGCAAAGTCAGTAGGGAAGCTGGCAGAAGATCATAGATGGTGATTCTGCGTCCACAGGATGCTACAACTGTGTAAGATTCGCCTAACGACAGCAATGGGGGACAGCAGGAACTGCCATCATTAAGTTGAGGCAGTCATATGAAGTTGTGCTTTATGACTGTCGCTTAGTGACAGAGTTCCCAGTCCCAATTACAGTCAGTAAATGAGGGCTACCTATATTTGACATTAGGCAGAGGTTAAATGGAGGGAATCGTGGTGGTTTTTTTTTAAGTATTTGCTGTTTTATCCAAAGAATGCATCGTGATCTTTTGGATTTGCACAATTTGGAGAAGCACAACTTTTTCCATTGTTTGTGCAAACAATACCGTGTTTCCCCGAAAATAAGACCCTGTCTTATATATATATATATATATATATCCACCAAAAAAGGCACCATCTTATTTCCGGTGGGGGGAGGTGGGGATGTCATCCACTGACTCACCTCACTTGCGTGTGTCACCACCGGCATCCTTTTCGCTGTCAGAGGCCTTCAGGAACTTTTTTGGCCGGCAAGGCTTTCCTGAAGGATCGATCCGGAGCTCTGTTATTGGCTGCAGAGGCCTTCAGGAAAGCCTTGCCAGCTGCAGAAGAAATGGGCCAGCAAGGCAGGTTTCGGGGTGTGCGAGGCCTGGCTGCAACTGTCCGAAGGTAAGTAGTAGGGCAGCTCCACCCCCACATCCCCACCCTAATTTACCGTACTTTTCGGAGTATAAGACACACCTTTTTTACCCAACAAAGAGGGTGAAAATCTGGGTGCATCTTATACTTCGAATGTAGCCCCGCCCAGCCTCTCAAATGGAAGTTTCAGAGGCTGAAAAAAGCCTCTGAAAGAAGCTTCAGAAAAAAAGCCTCTGAAAGAAGCTTCAGAAAAAAAGCCTCCGAAACAGAGCTTCAGAAAAAATGCCTCTGAAACTTCAGAGGCTTTGAAGCTCTGTTTCGGAGGCTTTCAGAGGCAGAAAAAAAAAGTTTTTTCTGAAACAGTGTTTCAGAAGTTTCAGAGGCTGAAAAAAAAGCAAGGCACAGAACTCACAACCAACAAACCTGTTTCTAAAATTCACCTTTGGGAACAGTTGATTGGGGGTATTCCGGGAGGCCGATCCACCTGCCAATCAGTTTTTTTCTTATTTTCCTCCCAAAAACTAAGGTGCGTCTTATACTCCAGTGCATCTTATACTCCGAAAAATATGGTAATTTTTACCTATGCACCCTGGAGTGGGTGAGGTCTTAATTAGGATTTATATTGGGTGAACATGTAAAAAAAAATCACACTAGGGCTTACTTTCGGAGTAGGTTGTATTTTCGGGGAAACACTGTAAAACAACCACATTCCTCGCCAAACTTTTCCTCACCTGTGACACTGCTACTCAGCGGGTTGCTCCCCACTCCGTTCTTGCTATTGCTCACGCAGGGCTTTTCCCCCTTTCCAGCATGAGGACAAGGGTTGGTCGGGTGAGAATATAACCTGCAGGCATGGGAGTTGGGGGGTGGGGAGAGAATAAAGTGGGGAGGGGGAGTTGGAGAGAATTCAGGTTCACTTTTAAACAAGCTTTATACATCCTTTCAGAAAAGAAATCTACCCTAAACAAAACAGGGTTTGTTTTACCAAACGATGCATGCCTGAAAATTATCTCACTAACTACTAGAAATCTACTAGAACTGCCTCTTTTAGTGTCCGTTTGCAGTTTCAGCAGGGGTGAAAAAGTAACTTTGGGATCAGTCTTCCTATTTACCACCCACTCAGGTCTGTACAAGGTAGTCCTCGACTTATAATGGGTTGCTTAGCGAACATTCAAAATTACGACGGAGCCTGAAAATGGGATTTGTGACACGGATTCGAAGATCTGACACCTGCCCGCTCATCGCCTGAGGTCATGTGACCACATTTTGAGCACACGGCAAAATGGCCTGCATTTATGGCTGTTTGTGGCATTCATGTCACGTGACTCGGTCTTATGAAGTTTTTGTTAGAAACTGGTGTTTACTTCTGATTTCCGGCCAAAATGTGTAACCCAAACAATGGGTTCGCTTAATGACTGCCAGATTTGGCGTAGTCCTGTGGTTATTCACTTTATGACTGTTCTGGCCGGGGGATTCTGGGAGTTGAAGTCCACCCATCTTCAAGCTTCCAAGGTTGAGAAATACTGCCTTAGGGGCTCTCCCTGTATCTCACAAGGCCCTGGGATCCAATTACGGCGTGATTCTTCTATTGCTCAACTTGGCATAAGTGTGGAGTTGCTATGGCAACATGTTCAGAATACAGGCCGGAGAAGAGAAACTAGTATATTGATGGGAGAAATGAGATGTGCTACCAGAGTTCAGCTGCTCTGAGCAAAGGGGGAGGAGGGAAGGGAGGGGTGGGCAACAAGAAAAATGGGGGCTTGAACAACCAGAGATGAAGGATTTTTCTGGAACTGGAGGGTACCCCCCCCCCATTTTATCAAATCAAAACAGTGCATTAGAAAATGCAAAACGTGGGAGATGTGGGTGCATTTCTACCCTGGCATCCACATACAGAAAGCCACGGAATGTGGACTATAACCCCCCCCCACACACACACCCAAATTGCCTTGCCAGCAGCCAAGCTGGTGGAGGCCAGAGGATGCTGAAACACAAAACATCTGGAAGCTCGTTCTTGGAACTATATGGCTCGAGGCGTCCGGAGAAAACTGCAGATACTAGAATTGCAGTTTCTAGGCAATTCTAGGCCGCAACCTGTCTAGAACTGCGAGGGAGGCTTTTAAAGATGCCAAATATCAAATTGAGAGTAGTTCACGGCATATCTTCGATTCCACAGAAATTGACAAATTCCTTGCTTAGCACTGGAAAGTCTGTTCCCAATTGTGGTCATAAGTTGAGGACCACCTGTCCTGTATAACAGGGGTCTCCAACCTTGGCAACTTTAAGCCTGTCGGACTTCAACTCCCAGAATTCCCCAGCCAGCAAAGCTCTCCTGTCGGACTTCAACTCCCAGAATTCCCCAGCCAGCAAAGCTCTCCTGTTGGACTTCAACTCCCAGAATTCCCCAGCCAGCAAAGCTCTCCTGTTGGACTTCAACTCCCAGAATTTCCCAGCCAGCAAAGCTCTCCTGTTGGACTTCAACTCCCAGAATTCCCCAGCCAGCAAAACTCTCCTGTCGGACTTCAACTCCCAGAATTCTGGGAGTTGAAGTCTGCCAGGCTTAAAGTTACCAAGGTTGGGGACCCCTGCTATATAACACTCAAGGCAGCCCATCATAGCCAATAAGAATCGATCGGAATTGTTGGCTCTCAGCTGGGGAGTCAGTCTGCCCCCTTCAAATGCTGTTCGTGGGAACCCAGCGTGCACTATTAGAATTTATTTCTCAGCAAACCTGCAAGGAATTGGGATACCATGGTGAAGGTTGGCGGGGCTGAATTCAGAAAAAGGGTGTCTGTAAATAGGGGTGATCAGAGATACTGCACCCCAGTTCATGCAAGCATTAACCACCACCCCTGCCTTTTAGCCTGCCCAGAAGGGTTCTGTATTCAAATTCTGGTGCATTCTGATCAGCGGCGGCTGTCGCAAACCCCGATGGCGCCAAAACAATGACAGAAGTTACTGTATGTCGAGTGGCTTTGGATACGAGAGGCCTATACGTCTAATAAATAACCTAATAAAATAAAAGCAAGTGGTGCTTTTGGGTGTGATGACATCACCGGGATGTCATCGTCTGCCCAATTCTGGTTCTCCAACCCAGCATCGTTTTGCACCTAAAAAGGCCGCCATCCCATGAAATCAAGGCCCAAGCCCTATAAAACAAGAGCATGCGTGCCCCCCTAACCAGGTTTCACATAACCTAGAATAACAAAATTGGAAGGGACCTTGGGGGTCATCTAGTCCACCTCCCTTGCACGAGCAGGAGACCCTACAGACACGCTTCAGCTCAACCCGCTAACCCAGCTAGACATTCACCAAGGAGGAAGCCGCGGTTTAGTTTTAAACCCTGAGTTTGGCTGCTGAGCCTCTTCCTTTTCAACCTCCCTTTGCCAGAACCTAGTAAAATAGATGAATTCACTTCCCAGGGTTGTGTGTATTGTAATGAACGACGCTTGGGGAGGGGAGGGAAGAGAGATCCCCTCTGGATCTGTCAGGCTAACCCTTCCCCCCAACAGGCCGCTATTCTCACCCACTCACCCACCCCCAAACCAAACCCACCCACCCAATCCCTGCACCAATATGGCCTGAAATTGAGTGCCGGTGCGATCACAGATTTGCCCCCCCGACCAAAAGCAGATTTTGCTGCAATGCACCCGAGTTAAAAAAAAAAAAAAAGCCGGCTTTGCTTGTTTGCAAGCAGGGTGGGAGAGGGACGGATCTCCCCCTCCTCTGTTTTTCACCAGCGGAGAGTCCCGTGTGAAGCCCAGCTGGATGGGGAGGGAGGGGAGCTTCCCACCATCATCCCTTCCCTCCCCAGCATCGCTTGCAACGGGCATGGTCCTCCCTGCATCCTTCCCTCCATCAGAGCATCCTTCCTGCCGTCACTCACCCGGCCGGGAATCAGTGCCGGCTTCAGGCTGCCTCTGGGGTCTTCCCTTCATGAGCCGATCGCGCCGGGTCATGCTGTCCCCGCGGGGAGCCGGGCGCAGCACCCCACCGCATCCCTTCCAGAGCCGGAGCCAGGAGAAAGCGAGGCTTAAAACCCGGCAAGCCACAGGGAGGCTCCGCCGCGCTCGGCCAATGGGCACCTTCCCGTTATTTTCTCTCTCAGCAGAGAGGCAGGCAGGCGATGAGGTAGCCGTGACGGAAGCAGCTTTCCCTTGGCTGCCTTCACACAACCCGCCTGAACCCGGGTCAGCCGCTTCTGCGCATCTGGAGGTTGGGGGGAAGGTGCTTTTTTTGGTTTGGTTTCTGGTTGGGATTTATTTTTTTTTTTTTTTTGGCTAACCTCTTTCTTGCCTTTTTTTTAAAAAAAAATTATAAATAACTCAAAAGGCATTGAATACAGCTGGTCCTCGACTTACAACAGTTTGTTTAGGGACCGACCGTCCGAAGTTGCCACGGCACTGGAAAAAGTGACTCGTGACCCTTTTTCAAACTTACGACGGTTGCAGCATGAGCCCCATGGTCATGGGATATATTTGGATGCTGGACAACTAGTTCGTATTTATGACGGGTTGCAGTGTCCCGAGGTCCCCTTTTGCGACCTTCTCACCAGCAAAGTCAAGGGGGGGGGGAAGGCAGATTTACTTAATGACCGTGTGACTAACGTAAGAACTTCTGTGATTCTCTTAACAACTGTGGCAAGAAAGGTCGTAAAATGGGGCAAAATTCACTTAGCAAATGTCTCACCTAGCAACTTATATTTTGGGCTCAATTGTGGCCGAACGTCGAGGATTACCTGTATACCTAATGCTCCTTCCTACTCTTTTCCCTACAACAACCCTGTGAGGTGGGTCGGGCACAGAAAGAAGAAGGTTCCTCCAGCTGGTTTTCAAGCCTAAGGTGAAACTGATTGTTTCTTGGTTTTTAGCCTGGTCTAGAAACTAAATGAAGCTCTTGTGTGAATGCAGCCAGAGGCAGCAAGGTAACCCATCCCTGAACAAGTCTTCCTCTTGGCCTCCCCCGCCAGTTGTGTGTACAGTCTGTGGCAGAGCTTATACATCCTGCTAAACCTTGGTTTGTTCAATTACAGACAGGTAAAACTTATGCTAAACCTTGGTTTGTTCAATGACAGACAGGTCAAAACTTATACATCCTGCTAAACCTAGGTTTGTTCAATTACAGCCAGCTAAATCTCCTAAATCATGTCAAACCCTGGTGGCTGGATCAACAAGCCACATTACAGTTTATAATCACAGCCTCTCTTCCCAGTTCCCACTCCAGATGACTCTTAATTCCTATCTTAGTTTTCTCTTCCAAGAAAGCCAAAGCTGGATATTTCTAGTTTTCTTCCATTTTCTATGCAACCAAAATCCTTTGGATGATTTGCAAAATTAATCAAACATGACTTTTTTTACCAATCATGTATGTTTTTGGGGTCATGGCTTTCAACTCGCTGGTTGGGAATACTGGGAGTTGTAGTCCCACATGCTAGGAAACCAGAACGAGGCGACTATAGGATCCTGGGGTTAAGTTGCAGAATAAGAGCAGCATAATGTCATGAGGATTTCTTGGAATTTGATCTTTGTAATCACACAGCTGAGGATCTTCTCCCGATCCCCGCCTTTAGCAATCATGATCCCGCAACTCGGGCCCAATTCACACAAGACGCCCTTGTTTCTGGGGATCCAAAAGCATAAAAAAAAAACCTAACAAAATTTGCATTTACAGATGGATTGCATGCATACCCAGCAGGCTAAATCTGCCCTCGAACTAACCAAGGTTTGCAGCTGGTTGCCAATGCAACCCCCGGGGTTTGCTTATACAGGTTGTGTGAATGCAGCCCCCGGGGTTGGGAGGGGAGGGTTTGCGCCCGATCCTAACAAGCGCGCCTGCAATTTGTCCACGTGAGCTTTACTCAGGATAGCAAGCAAGCAAGCGGAAGAAAGGGAGGGGGGAAAAAACTCATTTCAAGTTATGTGTTTTTTTTTAAAAAAAAAAATATGCATGCCCCTTTTTAAAAACCGAGGACAGAACGAAACGTTCAGCAAACACGCAACCCGGGCCGCGCAAAAGCCACGCGAGCGAAAGGAACGCATCGATTCTACCTGCAGGGAAATCAACTGAGCCAAACCGCGTTGAGAAAATGTTCGCCTGGACGCAACCACGTTCCGGGATGATCCCCCCCTCCGTCCCTTGGCCTTATGGTTTCACCCAAGGAAGGAGGGCAAAGGAATGACGTTGAACGGCGGCCGGTAAGGGACAAAATTTAATCTCGTTTGTTTTTAAGAAGCGCGTCCGGAATTTTTTCGGAAACTTGGCGTGGCGAGTTAAATGAGTGTCCCGATACCGCAGGGTGGTTGTTGTTTTTTTTTCCCACGGACCCTGAGTTTTAGTTGTAATCGGGCATTTGGAAAAAGTGAAGTTTCACCGGGCTCAAAACCCTTTCAGCAATTTTTATTTATTTATTTTATTTATTTATTTTGTCAAGCATATATAAGATTACATCATAATAGTAATAGTAATAATAGTAATAATAATAATAACAACAACAACAACAACAACAACAACAACAACAACAATAAAAACAATAACAATAATGTTAATAATAATAATAACATAATAATAATAACAACAACAACAACATGTTACCACCAACAGCAACAACAACAACAACATGTTACCACCAACAGCAAATGCCGCCTCTGCAATGAGAAAGAAGAGACAGTCGACCCCCTGATCAGTGGGTGCAGCAAAATTTCACAAACTGACTACCTACAACGCCATGACCGTCTTGCTAAGATCATTCACTGGAAATTGTGCCAGAAGTTTGGATTTGATTACAGCAAAAACCACTGGGAACATCAGGCTGAGAAAATTTTAGAGAATGAGAAACTCATGATCTTGTGGGACTTCAGGATTCAGACTGACAGGCACTTGGTCCACAACACACCTGACATAACAATAGTTGAAAAGAAAAAAGTATGGTTCATTGACATTGCAATACCTGGTGATGCACGGATTGAAGATAAGCAGCAAGAAAAAATCACAAAGTACCGGGACTTGCAAATTGAAGTTGAGCGACTGTGGAAAAAGAAATTGTGTGTTGTCCCGATTGTAATTGGAGCCCTTGGAGCAATACCCAAAGGGCTACCCCGCTATTTAGAAATTCTAAATTTGCCGGACTTGAACATTTTGACTCTACAAAAAACCACCTTACTCAGAACAGCTTACATCCTCCGACGATACCTTAACAGTTCCTAGGTCCTTGGTTAGGACTCGAGCTGCTGAGCTATTAACCAGCCTCAAAGGCTGTGAATCTCACTAAAGATTAACCAATAAATAATAATAATAATAATAATAATAATAATAACAACAACAATATAATAATTAATATATAATAATTATTATAATTATTATTATTATTATTATTATTCAATACCAGTCATTTGGTATTTGTGACACATTGTGTCAACACCAGTTGATTGAGTTTCATTTTTAATGAATAAAAGAGAATAATAATTCAAATTTTGACCGGAAAACACGCAAACTTTTGAATATGTACCAGCTTTACATCCACGAAGTGACATCGACAGGTTGTACCTGGCAAGAAAAATAGGGGGTAGAAGAAGAAAAACGAAGTTTGAATGATTACATGAACCAAAGTACCAAAAAATTGCTGCAGGCTGTGAAAATGGAGAACATTATAAAAACAACAGAAACAAAGACAGAATATAAGGAAAAACAGCTGGATGACAGATTAAATAGATGGGAAATTAAAGCTTTGCATGGACAGCACTTGAAAAACATTGAAGGAAAATGTGATGACAACTTTACATGGGCATGGCTTAAGATGGGAACCATCAAGAAAGAAACGGAGGGTTTAATACTCAAGAACAAGCACTACAAACTAATGCCATGAATGCAAAGATACAAAAATCCACTGACAATCCAAACTGTCGACTTTGCAACAACAAAGTCGAAACTGTTTCACATTTAATATGCGAATGCAGCAAAATCGCACAAACTGATTACAAAGCTAGACACGACTGAGTTACTAAATTAGTCCACTGGTCATTATGTAGAAAATACGACTTTCCTGTATCCAAAAAGTCATGAGAACATAAAGTGGAAAAAGTTATAGAAAATGAGAAGGTGAAGATCTTGTGGGACTTTCGAATACAGACTGATCGTCACTTGGAACACAATACGCCAGTTATCACAGTTGTCGAAAACCGAAACATACAATTTATTGACATTGGGGTACCAGGAGACACCAGAGTCGAAGAAAAAGAACTGGAAAAAATCATGAAATATTGCGACCTGGCCATCGAAACTACACAGAGGGGTTTTTTTTTAAAGAAAAAGTAACTGTATTTACAGTATTATCAAAACCAACAAAATCTGATTATGGGATTGCATCATGTACTGCCTTGGTGCATGTACAATCTTTCCCCAATTTCCCTCAGTATGAATCACAGAAATGATGCAAATTATGCTCCGGTGCGTTTCTGAACATTTAGTCTAGATTTTTTTTTTTTTTGACATTTGGCTGACCCCACATTAAAATGGTGCAATTGCCGGAATTAGGGACTCTTACATCACCCGTCTCATGACAGTGCAAAATAGGAATTGCATGTTGTACTTGCTACAGCACTCTGCCCACCTTAATGGGCTGCTTGCTCGCTGGAATTCCCAAAAGCATCTCTGAGAAAAAGACAAAGTTGTAATACCACACAATTAAAGTTGGCAGCTCTTTGTCCTACAAAAGAAGGAGGTTTGTACAAAAAAGCTGCATGTAGTAATTTAACAGCTCGTAAAAGCCAGTTTGGTCTAGTGGCAAAGGAACCATGCTAGAAAACCAGGAGATGGTGAGTTCTAGTCCCACCTTAGCTTGAAGAATCATCTGGGTGCCAATCACTCACAGGCAAGCCCATCTCACAGGGTTGTTGTTGGGAAAAACAGGAGGAGGAAGGAGTATTGTGTGTCTTTGCTACCTTGAGTTGCTTATAAAGAAATAAAGGTGAAATAAAAATCAAATAAAATTGTTCTTAAGGTTATTGGAGGCTAGTCATAATTAAGTGCTAATCGCTGCCATTTCAGCACTGTCCTCGCCCACTCAAAGACAAAATCTGTGCAAATCAGAGGGTAAAAAACATTACTTCCTGGTTAAAACCAGGAAGTAACAACACCCAGGGGTGGGCGGAGTCTCGTGCCACCATCGCTACCAGTTCTCCGAACCACCTGCCAGAATCGCTACCGGATCGTCCGAACCGGGAGCATTTCACTCCTGCCCCAACCCCTTTTAATTCTCCAAGCACTAGAGGACAGGTGAGGCAGTCCCCTAAGGAGGTTTTGATCTTGTTCTGTGCTTTGTTGCCATTGTACATTGTAGCTTTTGTATTTTTAGTTGCTAATTTTTAAAACTTTTTAAATTAATATTATGCACTTTTTATTAATATTATGCATTTATGTTGTACAGTCCCCAGAGTCACACGGCCTGAGGGGTGAAATGCTCCCGGTTCGGACCAAGTCTTCCAATCCGGTAGCGATGGCGGCGGGTGGTTCAGAGAACTGGTAGCAAAAATCCCTGCCCCCCACCCTCCATGCCCAGCTGAGCTGTGCGATCATCAGAGGCCGAAAAAATGCTTTTAAAAGAAAACAAAAGCCTCTGACGATCAGGCAACTCAGCTGGGATCATCAGAGCCTTTTAAAAGCATTTTTTAAACAACCTCTTCGACCCAAAGAGGTTTTTTTTTTTTAAATTTGATTTATATGCTGCCCTTCTCCGGAGACTCAGGGCAGTTTACAATGCGTTAAGCAATAGCCTTCATACTTTTGTATATTTATACAAAATCAGCTTATTGCCCCCACAAACTGGGTCCTCATTTTACCTACCTTAGAAAGGATGGAAGGCTGAGTCAACCTTGAGCCTTGGCGAGATTCGAACTTGCAGTAATTGCAGGCAGCTGAATGTTAATAACAGGCTATTAGTCTGCTGCGCCACCAGGCTCTTACCAGGTTGTAGAAAAAATGCTTTTAAAAGTAAAAAAAAAAAAGTTGGCCATGCCCACCCAGTCACATTACCCCCCCCCTCCCCAAACCATGCCCACAGAACCGGTAGTAACAAATTTTACATTTCACCACTGCCCCAGAGTCACATGGCCTGAGTTGAATGACCTTGTAACTCTTGAAATAAATAAATGTGTCAGCATGACAAAGGAAGACTTCAACTGTGCAGTTGCAACTAGCATATTGACTTTTTCAATGACGTTGCATTGGCCGGATGCCAAGACATGATTATAGGTGATCCTGACTTAGCTAACATTGATATTGAAACGTGGGGAGCAGTGGGAATGAGCGGGAAAGCACAATGGTAGCTCCTATGTTTTGATATTCAGAGAAATGCAAGAGATTAAAAGCCTGTACGAAAACATACGAGTTGCAGGAACTGGGTATGGCTAGTCTAGAGAAAAGAAGGACTAGGGGACACATGATAGCAGTATTCCAGTGTTTGAGGGGCTGTCATAAGAAGAGGGGTCAACCTATCTCCAAAACACAAGAAGGCAGGAGAAGAAGCAATGGATGGAAATTAATCAAGCAGAGAAGCAACCTGGAATTTAGAAGAAACTTCCTAACAATGAACAATTAACCAGTGGAACAGCTTTGCCTTCAGAAATTATGGATGCTTCATCACTGAATAGGGTTGCCAGGTCTGCTTCCCAAAAATAGTGGACAAGCGGGGGGGGGGGGTGTTAAGTAGTAAAATTTTTTAATAAAAATTACAATTAAATTATATATTTTCTTACAAACATTTTAACACGTATTAAAATAATCACTTCAAAACTTTACTTAAAATTCAAAACATCAAATATATTATAATAATATGTAAAATATTAAATTACATTTTACTTTGCTGTCGTGTGTATTTTTTATTTGACTGCGCAGCTTTGATCAATTCTTTGTGTTTAAGGAATAATTCTTTAATTTCAGTACAACGTTGAGAAATATTAAAAAATATATAAAGTTCACTTTGAACTGATGGTACAAGCAGTCGGTTACGTTCGTCAGTCCACAAATTTCCCATGACGCTGAAAATTCGTTCAATGTTTGCATTTGATACCGGAATTGATGCACAATACTGGAACAGTTTCAGTAAACTCGGAGCTGGCTCTTTCTTGAAAAAGTACGTCCACTTATCAAGGGATGAATCGCCCTGCAGATGAACATAAACTTTGGTGTATTTGCACACTCCTCTCTTTTGTTTTAAAGAATTCGAAATCTCGCCGCTGTCACTCTCATCACTCAACGCCATTTTAGATCAGTCGACACAAGCTACAATACATTTTAAAAATGTGAACTGTACATAATTTTATAATGTATTTTTTTTTTTAATCTCATCATTAATTTTTTCGGAGAATCGAGTTCAATGGATATTCGATCTTTGTCTCATTCTAACTTATGAAAAAAAAAACAAAACCCGATTCTCCTATCCTTATTCTCTTAGACTGTACAGCTTTAGATGACGTACCATTTCATCATAAAGCTTTTGAATAAAAAAAAAATGTCCACTATTTTGTGAAAAAAATAGTGAACATAATGTGAAAAAAGCGGACTGTCCGCTCAAATAGTGGACACCTGGCAAGCCTATCACTGAAGGTTTTTAAAGTTTTTAAGAAAAGACTGGACAGTCACTTGTCTGAAATTGTATTGGGTCTACTACTTGAACAGGGGGTTGGACTAGAAGACCTCCAAGGTCCCTTCAAGCTCTACTATGATTGATTGACAGTTATGCTCCCTTCTGCATATTCTTTGTACCAGTTTATATATCTTTCTTACTGAAAGATCCCCGTCATCAAAAATCTCTAGAGAGAACAGAAAATTCCATAGTCTTACAGAATAACCCATGACTTGAAGAAGGATAGCTAAAAAATTAGACCATACAGAGTAGATTCCTATTTTTTTGTGTGCTTTGCCCTGCTTTTCAAACATACTTTGGAGCAAAGACCATTGATAAAACAGTTTGAAGAGAGATGGAGCGTATGGGTGAATAAATAACTTAATTCATGAACTCGTAAAAGTCACACCCATGTTTATTATTCACCGTTTTACTCCAGCAATGTGAATTTTCAGGCTTCGTGTGACTTCGAGGTCAACAGAACAACCCTTCTTATCACATATGCTATCTTGGGTTCATACAGTCCACTCAATTCAATTCAGTTGGCTAGTTTCTTATTCCGAATGTCATATGAGTCAACCAGTAGACTAAGGAGAATTCAAAGGAGAAAGAAAAAAAAAA